TCAAAATGAGCAAAATTTGTGAAGGGGCAGCAGTTTCCCAGTGAAGTCATACAGTATGTTGCTTTGGGAAGGGAGACATTGGCAAGGGCCTGCTTTGTTGTCTTCCAGCTGACACGTCTCACAGGCCATGCTGTGAGTGCCAGGCCTAACGAAGCCTGGCGTCCCGGGGGCTGCTGTCTTATGGCTGGCTGCTCTGGCCCCCAGGAGGGTACTGCAGGCTGGTGCAAGGTTTTTCTGTCATTTATAGGGTTTTTTTCTGTGCAGGTTCTTTGATGACTGAGAAGAGAAAGGTTCATGCTGTGGTTTTCCCTGAGGATGTGAGCAAAGCAGGGCTCAGAACCTTCTTTGGCATTAGAATCATAGAATCACAGAATGGCCTGGGTTGCAAAGGCCCACAATGCTCATCCAGTTCCAACCCCCCACTGTGTGCAGGTCACCAACCAGCAGCCCAGGCTGCCCAGAGCCACATCCAGCCTGGCCTTGAATGCCTGCAGGGATGGGGCATCCACAGCCTCCTTGGGCAACCTGTTCCAGTGCCTCACCAGTCATCTTTTGTGTGCTCAAACTGGTTTTACAGGTTTAACAGAAGCAAGTGTAGAGTCTTGCATCTGGGGAGGAATAATTGCATGCACCAGTACAGGTTGGGGGATGAGCTGCTGGAGGGGAGCTCTGCGGAGAGGGACCTGGGTGTCCTGGTGGACGACAGGTCGGCCATGAGCCAGCAGTGTGCCCTTGTGGCCAAGAGGGCCAATGGCATCCTGGGGTGCATTAAGAAGAGCGTGGCCAGCAGGTCGAGGGAGGTGATCCTCCCCCTCTACTCTGCCCTGGTAAGGCCTCATCTGGAGTACTGTGTCCAATTCTGGGCTCCCCAGTACAAAACAGACAGGGATCTCTTGGAAAGAGTCCAGCGGAGGGCCACAAAGGTGGTGAAGGGCCTGGAGCATCTCTGCTATGAGGAAAGGCTGACTGAACTGGGTCTGTTCAGCCTTGAGAAAAGAAGACTGAGAGGGGACCTGATCCAGGTCTATAAGTATCTAAGGTGTGGGGGTCAGAATGGCGAGGCCGGACTCTTGTCAGCAGTGTGTAGAGACAGGACAAGGGGAAACGGAGACAAGCTGCAGCATAGGAAGTTCCTCTGTACAGTGAGATGATGGAGCACTGGAACAGGCTGCCCAGGGAGGTGGTGGAGTCTCCTTCTCTGGAGATGTTCAAGACCTGCCTGGATGCCGACCTGTGCGACCTGCTGTAGGGAACCTGCTTTGGCAGGGGGTTGGACTCGATGATCCCTGGAGGTCCCTTCCAACCCCTACAATTCTGTGATTCTGTGACTCTGTAATTCTGTTTTCTATGGGAACTCAGGGTCTCTTTTCTCTTGATAACTTTATAAAGCCTCTAGAACATAACTTGTCTTTAAGACAGTATGGTTTTGGGGAGGTCCTGTGTGGAGCATAACGGTCTTTATGGGTCCTTTCCAAATCGGGATATCCTTGGTATGGGCATACGTACCATATGGTCAGATAAGCAACCTAAAAGTTTAAAACTACATGTGTTATGACCTAAGCTGACACACACTGGCTTGTTCTTTTGCTGAACAGCTGCTCCAAGCAAAACTGTGCCAAATGGAGTTATTAGGGGAAAAAGGATAGCTGACGTAATGCCATTAAAACTAGAGCTGCGATTTTGGGTTGAACTTAATGCGAATAGATATTGAATGAGATTGATTTGTGGATAAATTACAAATGGCTGTATAGGTAAATATATATGTAAATGATTTTTTCAAAAAGGAATATCGCATCACAGCCTTAGAAGTCAGGTTGGAGAGTTGGTTGGAGAGCAGAGGGGCGAGACACCCTGATGGTTGGCACTTGTCCTAAAGGTCTGTGGAAATGGAAGACAAACTGGAATTCAGAGTGGATACGTGTAGGTGTGAGAAGATTGAGTAAAATGGGTGTCAGAGCAGGAATGAAAAAATGGTTTTCAGTTGAGAATTGTAGAATCACAGAATGGTTGGTTGGGAGGAGAACTTAAAGCCCAACAAGTCCCAATCCCTGCCATGGGCTGGGTGCCTCCAGCTCAGGCTGCCCAGGGCCCATCCATGGCCTTGGGCACCTCCAGGGATGGGGCACCCACAGCTCTGGGCAGCAGTGCCAGGGCATCACCGCCCTCTGAATTTCTTCCGGACACCTAACCTCAGTCTCCCCTCTTTCAGTTTAAAACTAAACCTCTTCTCCTTTTGCTATCAGACTGTGTAAGAAGTTGGTCTCCCTCCTGCTTATGAGCTCCCTTTCATGTGGGAAAGGATGCTACAATCAAGGTGGAGTTGCTTTGCAAGTTGCAAGAGATGCAGAAATCTGAAATGTTTGAGTTCCTGTAATGTGTTTGAAGATAAAATAACTGGTGAGGAGAGCACCATTCGAGGCCATTGTAATAGCTGATGTCTGCTGCTTGTGAGCATGAACCTGTTCTGCTGGGGGAGCTGCTGCAGGGGAGCTGATGTCAGAAGCCTGAGTGCAACTGGTTGAAGGACAGCAAAGGTTGCTTTTCCAATCCTTGTAGAGATTTTGAAGAAACTTCCAAAATCAAGATTGAGGAGTTGTAGGAGAGCAAGTCTCAGTCCAAAGGTGGGTTGAGCATTTGGCATCGTCTCTGAGGCACCCTGAGAGTCGTGCTCCACATTTACGCCCTGCGGGGCTCCGTGCATTCAACAGTCATGCACAGTTTGAAGCTGCCTTTGATGTGATCACTATTTCTTAAAAGCAGGAGGTGGGGATAACTTTCATGATGCGAAAGTGTCGTCTTGGGCAGGTGGAAGTGGATGGGTGCAGGCACTCGTAACCTCGTGGCTTCAGAAGAGCATTGAAAACCCAGCAGCTGAGCTGCTGCGTTCATTCTTTCAGCGTTTGGAAAGTGGCAGTCATCTGAAGGATTCATTAAGATGGGGACTCATTTGCATATTATTAGCGTTATTACATGGAAATAAAAGTGCTGCTGGTTCTTCCCTCCCTCCATGTATCTCTCATCACCCGCCTTTATAGCAGCTCTGAATCCTATTTGTCGTGTGACAAACTGGGCTGATAAATCTCGTTACTCACTTGAATGGCTGGGAGACTCATCGCCCATTACTGAATTTGGTGAATTATGTAAGAAATGCATAATTAAAATTAAACCCGGAGCCTCGCATGGAACCTTATGAAATTCCCTTCGTGATGCATTACAGAGAAATGTACGTGGATATTAAAATTTAAGCCTAATTATTTGGATTTATTTTTAATCAATATTTGATACGCCACCTAGAAGTTCCTGTGTACCCACAGCAAAGCAAGCAGTGGGGCTTTGCAGGAGGGCATGGGAAGCACGTGTGCGTGTCGAGTGTTAGCTTTCATAGAGTCCTAGAATGGCCTGGGGTGAAAAGGACCTCAAAGATCATCTAGTTTCAACCCCCCCGCCATAGGCAGGGTTGCCAAGGGTCGCCAATCCCTACACCAGCTGCTTACTTCAGTGTTTCATTACAGAAAGGAAACCTGCCCTGAGCACGAGGTGATGAAAGTTTCCCCATCTGCAGGAGGTCAGGGCGAGGAACCTGTTTCCCCCAAGTCTTCCCCCACCTGAGCACTGTTGGATGTTGGGGTTTATTGGAGAGGTATTGAATTTGTGGGAAGTAACTCAGTCTAATGGAACTCCGCTTGGTTGTTCACTCAAGTTGTCGTGAAAGTCATGCTGAAAATCTTTCCCATCACGTGTTTCTGCACTCCTGATTCTTATTTAAAGACAGCTGTCCAAACTGCTGTCTATCTTACGGAGGTGTGTACCTGAAATATGCTAAAAAGTTGTTTTCTATGTGCTAAAATTGCCTTTAGAGGCATTTCCAAATGCCCTGGAAAGAGAAGAAATGTTTTTAAGGCATGCAGTCAGCAAACCCCCACTTAATTTTGAAAGGTTCGTCTCTCTTAAGTACAAAACTGAATAGAAGAGATTTTATTCCCCTAAATCCCCGATTCTGGAGAAAGCAGCTTGAGATCTCAGTAAGAGAATTAACACACGGGTTAAATTTACAATAAGAAGCAGTACTTGGAAAATGCCTATTCAGATGCTGTTAAGGAAATAATAGGATTAGTTCTTGTCGTGTCAGTGTGGATTCCTCAAACTGCAGGCTTCGTGCTGACATGCATACGTTCTGTGTTGCTGGCCTGGGTGTGAAATTGAGGACAATGAAAACAAAGATGACTTTTCTTGGAGGCAATTCGTTTGAATGGTTAAGCCCGTAGTTCTGCACACACATGCGGCAGGTAATTCAGTATGACAAATAAGCCACTAATAATTCCCCCAGTGCTGTTGTTTGCCACTGAGATGATCTTAATTGCAGCTGTGTAACTGGTGAAATGCCTTTATCCCAAATCGTGAGTGTGCTGCGTCAAACCTGTTCTCCATCCCCATCCTAAGCGGATTTCCAATCATTGCTGTCATCGATGAGAAGCATAATAGACATTTTTACCCATTATTTTTGTTGTTTCTTTTTGATGACCCATTTATTATTCAGCTGTTTGAAAGGGTAAATAATAGCAGGACGAGGAGAAAGGCTTTAAGGAGGGAAGATTGAGGTTGGATGTCAGGGGGAAGCTCTTTACCATGAGAGTGGTGAGGTGCTGGAACAGCTGCCCAGAGAGGCTGTGATGCCCCGTCCATCCCTGGAGGTGTTCAAGGCCAGGTTGGATGGGGCCCTGGGCAGCCTGGGCTGCTGTGAAATGTGGAGGTTGGTGGCCCTGCATGTGGCAGGGGGTTGGAGCTTCATGATCCTTGAGGTCCTTTCCAACCCAACCACTCTGTGATTCTGTGATCATCCCTCTATATTTATTATAATGTACGTATATCACATCCGTTCTTTAGAATACAGCGTCTTTGTTTATTTCACAGTTCTCATTAATCCAGAATGGTGAAACAAAGCATTATCTTCCATTCCTCATTGCCATTTCATAACCATCCGTGTGTATCTTTGTTTTTAGCTTAAGCAGCAGTAAGGCTGAGTTGGGCTTTATTTGACATCAGCTGATTTCATCACAGAAGGTGCTGTAGATCATCGCCCTGAAAGAATTCAACAAAATGGTAATGAGAAAAAGAAAGGCTGCTGCTGTGCTGCTGCTCTTTTGTTTCTTTGTCTTCAGACACCACCCCTGCTTCTTGACAGATCTCCTCTTTCCTTCTCTGTTGGCTTTAATCTGCTGTATTCCAAACATGGGGCATGCAGGAATTCCCCTGGAAAAAATGTCTGGTTTGAGCTGGAGCGAAACCCCGCGCTCCTCCCAGAACTAACTCGGGTTTTAATAAGATCCTGTACAAAGGAATTGACTTCTAGGAGCTGCACTGAATGCATATGAAGACATGCATGTGAGGATTGTATTGGCCTTGTCCATGTGTGTCGGATTCTGGTAGCAGGTGTTCTCATTCTTAGCCTTTCTCTTGCATGAAATGCCTTGCTCTGCTCTCCGTAGCTCTTCCTTCCAGTCTCACTAACGGCAGTTGCCCTCTTCTAACAACAAGTGCTTACCCATATAATGAGTATATATATCTTTAGATGTGTCCATTTAAATTAATAATTAACAGAGCAGATGCCTGTGATATGCATCCGCTTGTATCTAACCGTTATTTGATGCGATCTAGCCTGTGTGCACAAGTTTTTGTTCCTTTTGTCCAACAGGATGTTTGTAGATGAGTGGGTAAGAGTTGATTTACACTTGAAAGTAGACAATTTCTTCTGAATGCTTCTCCTTTTAGTAGTTAGCAATAGCATTTTACCTGCACAGCATTCAAACACACACAGCATTTAAACTGTGGAAGGACCCCATATAGCCATACATATCCATAGGCACATATTGTAGAATGATAGAATCACAGAATGGCCTGGGTTGCAAAGGCCCACAATGCTCATCCACTTCCAACCCCCTGCTGTGTGCAGGTCACCAACCAGCAGCCCAGGCTGCCCAGAGCCACATCCAGCCTGGCCTTGAATGCCTGCAGGGATGGGGCATCCACAGCCTCCTTGGGCAACCTGTGCCAGTGCCTCACCACCCTCTGGGGGAAAAACTTCCTCCTCATATCCAACCTAAACCTCCCCTGTCTCAGTTTAAACCATTCCCCTTTGATGCACGCCTTGTATCTTGGGATCCTGCTCATGTTGGTGTATATACCCAAGGTGCCACTAAGCAGACATCATGGGCAACTTGTTTCGACACAAACTCATCCCTTGGTCCTATTCCATTCAAAAACAGTGCATCTATACATGAATCCAAACCTTTAGCAACCACTGTTAGGATGCTGAGAATTCCCCTGGTTTACTTCATCAGGACATAAATAAAATATAAATATATTATTATATATAATATAATAAATAAAACTCTTCCCTCTTAATAGCTGGGAACATGGGAGTACACCCGGTGGGGAAAATTCCTGGTGTGGGTTTAAAACATTATTTTAATTCTAATTTCACTGTGTAAGATTGAATCTTTTGATGGTGGATTAGTTCACACTTGAGCATTGTTATTTATTTTTTCCTTTTTTTTTTGTGTGTTTTTTTTTTAGGTCTGAAAGGTTTTTATGGGTTGTGAGATGTTCCAGTGCCTGGATCAATGCTTTTTGTTTCCTGTTGGGAAGGAGTCTGTTGGTTTTTTTTTGTTTCTTTGCTTGTGTTATGTCAACTTAATTGTAAGCCAGCGTGGCAGCCCCAGGGGAAGTGGACTTATATACACAAACAGGTACAACACTGCGTGTGCATGGAGCAAATGGAACCATCCCAGGGCAGAGGAGGTCCCCGAGGAGCTGCCAAGCTGTTCAGCCATCACTGATACCAGAACGGTGATGCCCACGTGGTCCAAATGCCTCTTCTTTCTGCACACACAGAAACAGGAATGCAGGAGATAGGCTTCATGTGCAGAGCTGTGTCAGCTTATGCTCACACTGGTGTGAGGTTTAGCAAGGTTTGTGCTCTGGTGTGAGTAAAACAGAGGGAAATCTGTCTCTTGTTATCAGAGGGCAGCCTGAGCTGGGGAGGTCAGCCAGCCCACAGCAAGGGTTGGGACCAGAAGATCTTTGAGATCCCTTCCAACCCAAACCATTCTGTTATTGGATGGTTTTAAATTACACATGTGCACGTCATGTCTGTATGAAACCATCCTGGGACTTGTGGATTGAGGTGCACTGTGATTTGGATGATGACATCCTGACAGTGACCAAGTAGGCGTACCTGCATCATGATGTTTTTGCTTTGACCTGCTGTCCCCAGACACAGATTGCCCTCATAAAGGCCCATTAAAAATCACTTTGCTCTCTGGGATGCTTAACTTGCTGTGTTTTCAGTTAGCCATGCTGAACCTTGAAAAAGAGAGTGTGTGAGCTTCCAGCAGGATATCTGGAGTTCAGAAATCTCCGCAGAAGATTAAGCAAGTTAGAGAGAGAAATTAGCCCTGATCCCTTTCTGCCAGCATAGGATTATCCTGCAGCACACCGGTTTTGAAGTTTATGTCTAATCCAGTTTTACACATCCCAGGGGACTGTGCTCCTTACGGCTTCTGCAGAGCAGTTGCGTGGTGGAGCCTCTGCTTTAGAGGTACTTGAGATTCAATTTGCATTTCCATTACTGCATCCCATTTCATCCTGTGCTGTATACTTAATGTCTCTGCTTTGTAGGGTATGGCTTTTGAAGACATATGGATCGTTACTGTGCTTGTGCTGCTTTATGTGCTTACTGCACACATAGCTGGGTGATCTGAACCCCATTCTTACACATAACTTGTGTTTAGGGCTGTTGAGCATATTTGTGTACAAGAGGGGTTGTGGCAGTCAGTGTGGATCGTAGTGCATCGACACAAGTGGCGTGAAACAAGGTGAGATGAGCCAAGTGTGCAGCAGTATTGCTAGTCAGGGCAAAAAGGAGCAAATGCTGCTGCCTTCCAGCAAGGTGCAAGGCTTAAATGGTCAGTCTGGGAGTTTTCCATGCAGCGTGGTATGAGTTTGTAAAACCATAATTGTTCTTTTCTAATAAATGTGTATTTCCAGGCTGAAAAACAACTTGTCTGTGATCTTTGAAGTGCCTTTCTGCAAGCATTGTTCCTTGCACACACGGGGCAGTAGCAGAGCAGCAGAGCATTGAAGCACATGGTCTATCTCAAATATGCAGGCAGTGCATTTAAAAGAAGACAGCATGTTTTACTTGACTGGCCAAAACTTGTTTAGAGCCATGCTAGATCAGCACCCAGCTCCATCCCAAGCACATTTCAGGAGCTGTTTCTAGGACTAGAAAGTGTTGGGTAAGACAGGAATGCAAGCCTAAGCCCCCAAAGTGCATTTTATAGCTTGAAAGTTTAAATTCCAAGTTTCTGCAACTATCCATAGCGCAATGGTGAGCTGGAGAGATCCCAGAATTGGGCCTGATCCTGCCCTGTGCCTTCAGTCTCGATTCACACCCTGCAGTATTATTTCATTCTTCTCAGTGCAGATGGCAATGAAAGATAAAACCAAACAAACAAAATGTGAAAAAAAACAAGACTTGCAGCATTTCTAGAAGGAAGAGAGAGCAAGCAGAAGATGGCAAAAGATGAACACAGTGGCTGATCATAATACTGTGCATGGAGGTGGCTTTTTTCATCTTACAGTGTGCACTTGAAAACTATGTGCAATCTGAGCAGTTTTTAGCAGTGTTAAGGGTGTATTGCTGCAACCTGGGCAGCAGAGGATATTTCTGCTTTTCCAACAGAGCTGCTTGGGCACCCCTTGCTCCTGCCATTTTCTTCATGGGCAATAGTTGTGGGGAAGAACCCAAATCCACAGCGATGGCATTTTATGAGCCATCCTCTCCCAGAGTTGTTCCTTGCAGAGAGGAGGTTCAGGCTGGACGTTAAGTAATACTGATTTGGTGAAAGAGCAGTGCTGCAGTGGCACAGCTGCCCAGGGGGGTGATGGGGTCACCCAGAGGTGTTCCAGAACCGTGGGGATGTGGCACTGAGGGACATGGTGGGGTGGCTGGGGTTGGACTGAGTGATCTTAGAGGTCTTTTCTGACCTGATTGATTCTGTTAATCATGAGAACCAGCATACTTTCTAGGATTCTATGATTTAGAGAATTTGCATCACTCATACAAAAGAAGTGGGGTTGAAAGTCTCCTCTTCTGTCCCCATCTCACCACATGGCTCCTGCCACCATGGGGACACGTTCTAGAAAAGCTAAGATGTTCTCAAGGAAATCAGTGCTGGGAAGTTGTGGGGCTGTCAATGAATTCTCTCTTCCCCCTTGGAAATGAGGTTTCTGGAGGACAGTGGCAGATGCTGTTTAGCAGGACACTGTGAGCACACCCCGGTAAGTGGCTGGGCTATCTGTGTTACTTTTATTCCTCCTGGCTGTAGTTATCCTGATTCGAGGCCCAGGATTCATCCATAAGATGCTGAACATCCAGGCTGGATGTGGGCAGCCTGGTCTGGTGCTTGGCAACCCTGCACATAGCAGGGGCTTGAAACTAGATGTGGCCCTTTTCAACCCAGGCCATTCTATGATTTCATGAGCATGCTTGATTTCTTTCCTCATTTTCTATGACAGAGTCTCTCATCGTATGCAGAGCAGGGTGCACCAGCACTCCTTGTGAGCAGTTTAACTATTAGTCCTCCTGTGCCAAGGATGTGAGGTCTGTGCTCAACCTCAACTGTGTATGATTGTGTGATGTCAGAGGCACTTCAGCACAGGCTGCACAGATGGGCAGTGGTGCCCCATCCCTGCAGACAGCCAAGGCCAGGCTGGATGGGGATCTGAGCACTGATGGAGCTGTGGGTGTCCCTGTCCAGTGCAGGGAGTGGGACAGATGGCCTTCAAGGGTCCCTCCCAACTCAAACCATTCTATGATGAGAGAATAAATGCTGGTCATTGCACAAGGGCAGGCATTGTGAAAGGCTGGGTGCTGGTTCTGAGCTGCTGGTGGAACGTCAGTTCAGAGCATCATCATCCTCATGGCTAAGCTCTCTCTGGGTACTCTCTTCTCTCTGAAAGCATTGATTTGCAGCATGCCCAAACCAAATTTAAGCATGGAGCCACATAGATCTGAATTTAGCTGTGCTGGCTGGTTTCCCTAGGAGGAGGGATCAAGGGGATGAATTTGATTGCCTCAGAAAATTAGTGTTGATTTCAGTGAAGAATATTTTATTACAGTGTTTGCATTGGCATTCCCTTCATAGGATAATGGCTAAGAGTTTCCAGTGTTTCCTGTGCTTGTGTGTATTTAATGATTTAATCTATTCCTTCTGAATGCTGGTTTGGAAGAAAAAAAAAACAACAATAAACAAGGCTGGCTGCCTACTATTAATATCCCTCCATAAAATAAAATCACTAATCCCAAAGGTGGAGTTGCAAATGAAAAGGAAAAAAACAACAAACAGTCTTGGAAAGTATTAAAACCAAATTACAGGTTCTAAAATAGACACCATCCATGTTGTTTTCTTCAGCTATGGATGCCAGAGAGGCTGCAGTGCTTTGGAAAGTTGGGATGCTGTTATCTCCATCCCTGAGTATGGGTTTGGAAACTTGGGATTATTCTCATGCATTGGAAGTTGAATTAGAATCATAGAATCATAGAATCATAGAATGGGCTGGGTCGAAAAGGACCACAATAATCATCCAGTTCCAACCCCCTGCTATGTGCAGGGTCGCAACCAGCAGACCAAGCTGCCCAGAGCCACATCCAGCCTGGCCTTGAATGCCTGCAGGGATGTTTCAACCTTCTTGTGTTTAAGGCTTAAAGACTGAAGATTTCCCTCTGCTCCCTCCTCCAGCATCACTTCGGGGCTGAGACAGAGCATGGGAAGTTTTGTAGCAGCAGGAAATATCTTCAGATGGGTGAGACTTAATGAAAAAGGCTGTGTGGTGCTGAGGGTGGCTCGTAAATCAGCACTGTACCTGTTAAACCAGGCTGGCACCAGGGGAGCAAGTGTAATCACATCATGGTACTCCAGGCATGCAAGTATGGCCAGTTAAAACAGGAACAATATGCTGGAGCAAACATGACCAAGGTTGGGCTTTGTGGGGATTAGGGCATGCATCCAGGTCTGCTTGCAGAGCTTCTGGTGTGGAAGGAAGATGGATGTGCCTCCTTCTGCTGATGTCCAATAGGACAGGACTGGGAAGAGGAATGGAGCGGTCGGAGCGAAGGGGCTAAGCATCACTTAAAGGTTCTTGTGTGTTCTGTGTCAGGCCCAACCCGTGATTTATGATGTTGCTAAGCCAGCAGGGAATCCTGTCTGTGCTTTCCAGCATTGTTTCCAGGCTGCAGAGGCTTTGTTCCTTATGAGCACCTCCTCTCCAGGAGAAGCAGGGTGGTTAAGGAGCACACGTGGGGGAATCCGGATGGCAGATTGCTGTCATAGAAGGGCTCTTTCATGGCACTGTATTTACCAAAGCTGCTTGGAGGAGGTTGTTTAAACAGCAGAGATTTGAACCATGCTCTTGACATAATTTTTCTCCATCCGCAACTGAAATACCAGCCTCTTGTGCGGTATTTAGAGAATCTGCTGATCTCTGCTCTGAACTGAATGGCTCTCAGGGTTAGCTGCATGCTTTTAAGGTGCAGTTGTTCACAATCTCCAGTGTCATTTCGGGCTGCCTAGCCTGATTTCTCCAGCAGTCTATAGGGCAGGCACTGTTAGAGAAACACTGCCTTTATAGCAGCTCACGTGGGTTTTGGGATTCACTTTGTGTGAAATGGGGAAACAAAGAGCAGGACAGGGATGCTGAGATTGTGGTGCTGAGGTTGAGGCTGCTCCCCCATTGATTCTGCTGTAAGACATTTATTTTCCTTCTATTCTCTTGAGCTGGGCTCAAGGGGAATGAAAATCCAAACTGCAATAAAGCAGCGCCTTCCTTTACTGACCAAACTACTCCTGTGGTGCTGTCTCCATCCGACCGAGCTCGAGAGGTGATGGTCACTGCACAGCTGCCTTAGTGCACCCATCAGGACGGTGTGCAGGTCCCTGCTGCTGGATCTGTGCCTGTCCCTATTGCTGGCTGTGACAGGTCAGGATGAGCCCACGATCCCAGTCCTCTTGGGTTAACCAGGGTAACCTGAGGGTTTGTGTGTTGTGGAACCTGGAAGCAGATCCTGTGGGCTTGAACACTGCTGGCAGCTGAGGTGGAGTGCAGATGCTTTAGGGAGGCATTGCAAAATCATAGAATCATAGAATCATAGAATCACCAAGGTTGGAAAAGACCTAAAAGATCATCCAGTCCAACCGTTCACCTATTCCCAATAGCTCCCACTAAACCATGTCCCTCAACACAGCATCCAGCCTTTCCTTGAACACCCCCAGGGTCGGTGACTCCACCACCTCCCTGGGCATCCATTCCAGTGCCTGACCACCCTTTCTGAAAAGTAATACTTCCTAACGGTTTTATGGAGGTGAATTTTCCCTTGTTGAAACCCCAAAGTGGCACTGATGGGCTGCTTTCCCCAACATCCTCTGCGTACATCAGCCCTGCCAGCAAAAGCAGGTTGAAAACACCTTTGCATTGGACTAAAGAGATTCTTTGTATGAATAAGCACTTGAGTTAACAGCACCAAGAGCTCTAGGTAAGTTTGCAACACAAACTTACACTTCAGAAGGATGGCGGTGTGCCTTTTGCAGCCAGACGAGTCTACTCCTGCCTAATCCTTAGTGGTGTGGAGCAATTGCTTTCCAGAGACAAGTAGGTTTCGTGGCTGGAACAGCAAGGAAGCATTATGGTTATTTTGTGAACCTCTTTCAAAGTGAGTTGTGAATCCTTTTGATGTGTGAGCAGTCCCACCGTGTGATACCACGGCCACAAAAATACGCGTTTTCTTTTTAAGAGGAAAAACTCAAACCTGGGGAGCAATTCCCAGGAGGGAAGTTTAACAGCTTCAAAGTGTTTCTGCAGCACTTTTTCTTGGTGTGTGGGTAGGAAGATTTCTTTCCCCTCATAAACAAGCAAGCCCTTCTCTGTAGAGTCCCTGTGGGCTTCAAGGTAGACTTCAGACTTGGGGAACCTTCCCACCTGGGGTGCCTTCAGAACTGAGAAGCCTGGA